CACGTATATAATCCCAGTACTCAGAAGGCTGAGGCAGGAGCATTGCCGCGAGTTCGAGCCCATCTTGCGCTACATACATAGCAAGACTGACTCAAAAAACAGAAAAGCTATTACGTCCCACGGGGAGTCTGATCTAATTTTGCATCCCTCTGTCCGTGATAGACGGAGCTCGCCGGAGCAGGGCATAAAGGAACATGGAAGTCAGACGCTAGTGGACAAGCCGGCTCTGACCGGGAGGGGGGGTCCCGGCCTCTCTGGGGGGCCCAGCAGCAGGAGCTCGCAGCAGGAGCTCGGGGTCTCCCCGTCCTGCCCACCCATCAGGGCGCCCGGGAAAGTGGGGGGACTCCTCCGAGCCCCCGCGTGAGCGCAAGGTCACTGTGACCCCGCGGGTTCTGCGAGACCTCGCACTAACAAACCCTGCCCGCCGGGGGGCGACACGCGCCGGGTCCAAGCAAGGCACGGAGGTTAGGAGGCTGCAGCCCCGGCTCGGCCCAGCTCCCCGACTTCGCGTCCGCGAGCCCCAGCCAGAGCCGGAACCGAACCGGAGCAGCCGAACTGGGGACTCGGCTAGGGAGAGGAGGGGAGGGGCTGGGGAGGAGCTAGGGAGGGGAGGGGCCGGAGAGGGGCGGGGCAACGGGTCACCGTCCAATCAGTGAGCTCCGAGCCGGCCACAATTTGCATGGACCAGCTCTTCCGAGTTTCTTTGTCTCTCCTCAACGCACATCGAGGGAGCTTTAAATTCATGTATCTTGCTTTTCTCGCCTTCCTCCCCTGTCTTCCCTACTACGTTGCTTATCTTTGTTGGCTTTGGTTTCCTTTTTTCTTTTAGATTTCTCTCGTATTTTACCGTTAGATAACTATCAATCAGAAAGTGGAATAATTGTATATCTATAGATAGGTGATAAGATGGATAATTGACCCATGATAGAGAGGTGATAAAATGATAGATGGTTGATAGATGATAGATAGATAGATAGATAGATAGACAGATGTGTGGCAGGGTTCCAAATCATTGGTGAGACCCTGACTCAAAATTTAAAAATAAAAGAAGATCTAAGGATATATACTAGTGCTAAGGCCAAAAGAAAGGATATACATCTTTTTTACACATCATTTTAATATCTTGCGATACTCCAGCTGTAGACAAACCATCATGTATTTAACCTGTCTCATTCTGAGTCTTCTAAGCACCTCTCAGTGTTTCCCAACTTTCCAGTACAAAATTACTCTCCTACAAACTGTGCTGTGATAAACATCTCATGTCAAATGAGACTGGGTGCTGGGGAGACACCTCACACACACAGTGCGGCAGGGCTCGGAACACTTGATGCGTACAAAGGGTGTCCAGGACACACACACAGGACATGCTGTCTCTGTTCTGTCCTGTGAGGCAGCCAAGGTTAAGAAGCCCATTCAAGGTCACCGGGTTCTCTCACCACTCCAAGTTCTAGAATGCTGTGTCCAAGGGAAACAAAGTAAGCCAAGGATGGAATTTCAAATATTCGAAAAGCTTCATTCAGGCAAGCTGAACTCAAAGTGCTCCGTAGGCTATGGGAATAATTAACAGAAACAATACATATTTTTGATGCCTGCTACAAACAGGCTCAGTACTAAGTATGTGCGTGCAGCGTCTGAGGGCAGTTCCAATGCTGGTCCCACGGACAGGCAAACAAATCGAGCTTGAAAGAAGCTGTGGGTCTCACCCAGTGCCTCAGAGCTGGGATGTGGCACTATCAGGACCCCAAACCAGGCCACTGTCCACATTATAACCCAAAGGGAAGAAGAACGGCCAACCACCCACTGGAAGTCAAAAAGCAAAACTCTTGACTCCCAGCAGGCTCAGGAACTGTGTGTCTGTATCCACAGGGCAGCGGGCGTGGTAGGAAGGCCGTTGAATGCCATTCGCTCTCGGATCTCATAGGCTTGGACACTGAGCTTTCCCACCCCAGAGGGTACATTGGAGTTAACATCAGCCACCATATGCTGGTGCAGAAGTAAAATAACGCCTTGCTTGCCCTGCATGCAAGCAAGATGGTGAAGGATTTTTAAATGTGCCCTTTGGCCTCCAGGGGTGGCAAAGAATACCAGCTGTGTGATCTGAACTCAGAGTTCGACCTTTAGCTTCCTGAGCTTTTTTCTTTGGAGGCAGAAATGAAGGTGCCTCTCTCTATGTAGGGATTTTGTAGGTCTGTTGAGAGTGGATACCCCTGGGGAACAGTGGACATGGGACAAAGGTGTGGAGCAATGCACCAGCAGCCCCAGCTTCTCAGACATGGAGGTCACAGGGACACAAGGTACTTTAGAGTGGCAAGAGCACAGTGAGCAAGCTCATAGCTGGTATCTACTGGTTTAAATGCCCATTTCTTTATGAAGTAGTGGTAGCCAGGGTTTTGAGCTGGATTTCTAAATGTTCTTTGACAAAATCAAAGTGTTAACAGCTGGTAGCAGTATGCTCCTATAATCTTAGCTGCTTTCAGGGCTGAGGTAGGAGGATCGAAAATTCTAGGCCAGCCCAGGCAATTTACCAAGATGCTGGCTCAGAATAAAAACTAAAAGGGGCTAACACTGTAGCTCAGCAGTTCAGCATCCCTGGGTTTGATCCCCAGGAAAGTGGAGGGTTGGCAGGTGTGGCAAGAAAGTTCTAGAATGTTCTAGAAATGTTCTAGAAAGTTCTACAATGGCCTCCCTGGATCCCTGGTAATGTCCGAGGCCTTGTGTGAATCCCTACTCCACTCCACTGTGGTGGCCCGGGTGACTGAAGAGCTTCTAAGAAATGGAACATAGCAGTCATCTGTCACTTGAATGATTAGGTTATGATACCTTGTCAGCTAACTCTGCTCCTGCCCTCTTGGTTTTCACTCTTTTAAGGAAGCCAGCTGCCACAATGGAGAGGCTGCCTGAGGTCACCCAGAGCTGAGGGTAGCTTCTGACCCACAGCTGGGCACCGAGAGGGCGGAGGGCCAGCTCATCTCCCCAGGGACTCTCAGGATTACCACACCCCAGCTGGAGGACCTAAAGCCACAGTGTGGCAATCCAAGCACGGGGCACCGGGCATGAAAACCTAAACAGGTCCCATCAGCGTGCCCCACCCAGCTCACCCAGACGTAATTAAGGACCTGTGTGTGCCCCAAAAGAGAAGCCGAGCCTCCGGTGTCTTCTGATCTGTGACCACTAGGTGGCAGCAAAGACGGGCAGACCAATCCTCCTTTCGCTTTCTAGCCAAAAGATGAAATTTTATTCCTGAAAATAAATTTGTTTAGCTAAAAATGTATTTCTGCATTGTGGCTTTAAGTATTTCTAGACTGCATCTTTACATACCTAATGATTTAAAAGAGTTCTATCATCATCGCAACCCTCTGAGGTTTATTATTACCAATTTACCAAGCAGGAAACTGTGGGTAACTTGTCAATTCCCAGAGTCAGAATTAGTAAACTGCAAGGGTTAAGTTCATTCTTGGTGTAAACCTTTGTAGAGCTGTTCGGTACCAGTACACCTGAGCTGCTCTATGTGTGTGTGTGTATGTTCAGAATTGTGATCCTGTTCCTGCCTCACTCCTCACTTGTTTCTAATCCTGGAATCCCTCCCACGGGTCTGTGCCTTTTGACATCTCTAGCCTGTTGTGTAATCAATTCTTTGTAGCTAGTCCTTGGAATTAGTTCGTTTTATGCTGTTACCAGAAAACAAAACAAAATCCAAAAAAACACACCCCAAAACACTTCAGGAAACGTCCTCAAGTAGAGAGACCTGTGCCAGTGTCTCTGCCTGTGGCATCCCCAGATCACCAGAGCATGGTCCCGGCTGTGGGCTGGGTGTGGCTGTGTGATAAAGACACTTATCTGGGGTGGGGGCTCCCCTCACCGGCAGAGCCTGTTTCATGAGAGCAGTTGCTAGTCGATGCACTCAGAATAGCCCAGGCTTCCGTAAAATGACACGAGCTTCCCTCTTCCTCACAAGTGGGCAGTCCTGAGATTCCACGGCCAAGTGTCCCTGAGGGGACAGATCAGAGAAGCGGACGTCCAAGGTCCCTCACCAGACCCTGCTGAGGGTTTGCCCTGTGCCGCCCACATGCTCACCCTGAAAAGTGACTGGGGTAGGTTTCTGTAGGCAAATCCTGCCACCCCGCAGACCACAGGCCCCCAACTTACATTTGAGCTTTCACAGACAGAACCACGTGTGATTCATGCAGCGTGGACAGGAAGAGCAGACCAGCAGTAGGGCCAGGAGGGAGATTCAAAAGGAGAAAGGTGGATGGGGGATGTGGCAGGGGACAGGGAAGGGGACAGAAGCTCCAGGTACTATCTCGCCCCTGGGGTGTCCCACAGGTGATCCTCAAGCTTCCTGGCTTGGGGGATGGGCGCTTCTAGAACTCATAGCTGCCTCTGAAATACAGAGCCCCGTGTGGGGTCCCTTCCACCCATCTGCCCCAGGGCCACTCCTGTGCTCACTCAGGCCCTGCCAAGACGCATCAGGGGGAGCTGACTTGGCCGAGTTACCGATAAGGAAACTGAGGCTTGGGGAGGTAGCGCAGAGCCGAGAGGGTCAGGCCAAGCTAACTGGGGTGCTCTTAGGCCCTCAGGGGAGACAGAAACCCTGGCGGGGCCCCAGCAGTGCAGCTGGCAGGAGGTGTCCTGGGGAAGGCATTCCCATCCAGCCTGGCCTCTGTCCCTCCCTGGGGTGCACATTATCTGCATTCTGAGGACACAGCTGCAGACTCCCCAGCTCTGCCCCCTCCCGGGTAGGCAGGCCAGGCGGCCTCCAACCTTTGGCTGTGTAAACATGCTTTGGCCTGGTCTGGCCCTGCCTGTCCTTGAGCCTGCAGAGCCTATGCACCCTCAGGGTTGTGAGTGCCCAGGCTGCACAGTGAAGCTCTGTGAAGTCTGTGAGTGGAGCTACTGGGTCACACCCCTCGGGTGGCTCAGTGGCCTCCGTGTGCGGTGCAGGCTCGCTCGTGGCCCTCCGCTTCCCTTATCTATGGGGCCCTGGAGCCCGGGGACTCCTGGGACAGGGCCCACCCTGGCTGGGGGACCAGATGGATGAACCATGGGGGGCTGCTTTGCCCTGATAGGGGCAGCTGGTGAGTGGCCCTTTATCAGCTGGGCTCTGGGCCCCAGGCAGCCATGCGGTCCTTTGGCGAGAGGCTGCGGGGTGACAGGGCTCCCGGGCCTGGGCAGGAGAGATACAAGGAAAGGGCATTTTTTCAAAAGCACAGGGATCGGTGCTGCTGTCTCCGATTAGGAAGGTAAGTCAGGTCTGGGGCAATAAAGTGGAGCAGAGCAGACGGAAAGAAAGTGAAAGTGTAGCTATCATCCTGGGGCCCGGCTGGGGTCATTGCCCCAGATTTTTTCTACCTAGACTGGCAGTCAAAGATGGAATGAATTGGACTCACATAAAGAGCATCAAGTAAAGGCTTAGAGCACTCCGGGTCCAGGTGCCCTGGCTTTCCAGCTGCAGATGGGCGCGCGGCTTCACTCCCGGGCCTTGGCACGCTCCTCGGCCCACCTCACATGGGCCGAGTGAGGATCCAACAGAATAACAACTGCAGGCCAGGACCCAGCCCTCAGCCAGCCCTGGCCCACGGTCAGCATCGCCCACGTCCTCCTGCAGCTCACCTTGGCTTTCCATTCAATGACCTACTGTGCAAAACAGGGGCAGGGCCAAACACAAATAAAAAGAAAAACTCAGCGGTGTCACACTGGTTCTTTTTGTTTGTTTGTTTGTTTGTCTTTTTGAGACAGGGTCTCGCTATGCAGTTCAGGCAGGGCTTGAGCTCAGTTTGCAGCCCAGGCTGGTCTCAAAGTTGCAAGGATCCTCCTGCCTCAGCCTCCCGAGTGCTGGGATTGCAGGAGTGTGCCACCACGCCCGGCTGTAACACTGGTTCTTTTCCATGCAGGTGCTAGAGTTGTACCCTGGCAGGGGTAAATCATCACTTATTTTTCTAATTAGCTCTATTGCTGTACAATTTGAAGATGATTATATACACCTATTTTCAGAGTTCAGTTCAATGACTTGCAAAAAAAAAAAAATCACTACAACATGGCTATAATCAAGATCTGTAACTTTTCATAGCGTGCCCCAAGCTTCTTTGCAATGGATCCTCTGCCCCCCACCCCCGGGGAACCTCTGCACTATTTCCTGTTGCTGTGGTGTAGATTCCCCGTGTCTAGAATATCACAAGTGGAATTAGGGAAGAGACGTGCTTTGGGGTGAAGCTGTTTCTATGCAGCACAGTGTATTTGAGATTCATGCACGGGGAAGGCTGGCTGGTGGGATTTAGGAAAGTGATCAGACGGAGAACGGAATAAACCCGTCAGTGAATTCGTCCCTGGATGGATCCATAGCAGAGCACGCTGTTAGCACAGAGGGCCTGGGTGAAGGGCATAGGCGGTGGCAGCAAACCCTTGGGGACAACATCTTATTGCTGATCCCTTCCTCTCTGGGTCTCTTCCTCTCTTTGCATCCTGGCTGGCATGAGGTAAGCAGCTCACCTGAACGCACCCTCCCACCCTGAAGTCTCTGCTCTTCACAGCCCGAGAGCAATGGTTCCACTGACTGCGGCCTGAAATCTCTGGGTCAAAGCAACCCTCTCATCCTGTGGTTGATATCAATCTTGGGCACCTCGAGGTCAGAGCTGGAGAGCAGTGCAGCCATACAGCAATGTGCCCCCCATCTGGGAGTGGGATTTGCTCTGCGCTGCTCAAGAAATGGGCCAGATGTAGGAAAAGCTCTTCGACAAGGTGCCCACTCTGGGCAGGGAACCCCTGCAAACGCTCTACTGCAAGACCTGCAGCCTCTCCAGGTCTAGGTTACTGCATCTGTGAAAGGCCTGGGTTAACTCCCGTTTCTTTGAAGATGTTCCAGATGGTAACAGGGGCGCCTTTTCCCTCCGTCTTCTTTTTGGCCCGCGAGAGGGAACCCTGAGCAAGCTGGGGCCAGACTGGGAGTCGTACACTCTCCCCCAGCTCTGCTATCAGTCTGGGGAATTGGGACAAGTCCCTGTCCCTCCCTAGACCTCAGCTGCCCAGAAGTCAAACTGGGAATGGCCTGGCTGAGTGCAGGGCCAGGCTCTGCCAATCTGATGGCCCACTGGGGACTCGGGGAACTGGACTCGGGGTCTCATATTGGAGACAGCAGCCATTCCCAAAAGTCATGCCTTCTCAGAGGGACAGGGTAGCCCATTTCATTGCATCTAGCACCCGCTACCAGCAGGCCACAGACTGGACTGGAGCCCAGAAAAGAGACAATTTTAGTTATTTTCAGTTCTGTCTCCTGTCACACTGCGATTCTCAGGAGTCCACAGACATTCGCTGGGGACCCGGCTGGACTGGAGATAGGAGAGGAGGTGAGTGTGGTCTTTGTCCTGTAAGGGGCCTTGGACTTCACCGTGAGAGGAATCATTCATTCAACAAGTACTTACTGAGCACCTACTCCAGGCCAGGCCCTTCAGGCCCAGGCTGGCCTCCTGGAAATCGACTTCAGCAGAAGATCCACACAATCACAGACATTATTGTGCAATGCAATTACTTACCCAAAAAAAATCATATAAAAAGGAAAAACAGGAAAGAAATTTTATTTTCAGCAGACATTAGAGTTGGCTGTCACAGACCGGGAGGACAGCAGCACAGGCATGTGGGAATCCACCGTCCTCTCACAATGACAAACCTGGAGGTCACAGTGTTGGTTCAGCAGTTCAGCGATGCTAGGATGGAAGTCTCTGTTGTACCTCATACTCCCAAGGTGGCTGCTCAAGTGTCAGTCTTCACATTTATATCCCAGACAGAAAGCACAAAAGGACACAGTTTAGCTCCCCATCTCTGGTTTAAGTCCCCTCTCAGAAATCCATGTAAACTCTGCTTATCTCTTGCTGCGAAGAACTTTGTCATACTGCTACCCCTGGCTGGAAAAGAAACAGAGAAAGGAATAAATGAACTTTCTTTCTTTTTTTGTACCAGGGATTGAACTCATGACCTTGTGCTTTCCAGGCAGGCGCTTATGCCACTGAGCTAGCTCCCCAAACTGGGCACTTTCAATGAGACAAAACTCCTATAAAAAGAGAGAGGGAGAGGAGAGATCGGATAAGGGCTGGGTATATAATTTCCAATTGCTGCTATAACAGCCACATGCTGAATGGCTTAAAATAACAAATTTATCTGCTCACAGTTCTGGAGGACAAAGTCCCAAAGCAGAGTCACAGGGTTGGAGTTTTGGTGCTGGCAGGGGTTGGAAACTCCAGAAGACACCGTTCTGGCCTCTGCAGCTTCCGGTAGCTGCTGGTGTTGCACGATTTGTGGCCACACTGCCAGAGCCCCTGGGCCAGCATCTCCAAGCCCACCCGCTTCATCTTCACATTGCGTCTCCCATGTACACCGCATTACCCCTGCCACCCACTCAGCAGCCTAGGTCACATTGCATCTAGAGTCCAGCCTGAAGGTCTAGGACCGTTTCCCGTGGAAGGTGCATGACTTCACACCTGTTGTAGTCAGGCTTCAGCAGGGAAAGGATACAACACAGGACATATACTTTATAGGATTAGTGTATAATATTCAGAGTCAGATGCAGAGCAGCTCAGGAGATCTCTCCATATGCTGGAGACCCAGAGAAGCCACCCAAGGCCTGGATCCCACAGCAGTGCCCTGCGTAAGTTCAGCTGGAAGCCTTCAGCCTAATGCAGTCTGTATCAAGGATCTGCACTGGGAAGGCCCAAAGGTCAGTGGTTTGCTCCAGCAGGATGAAGCATCTGTGCCAGCAGCTGAGGGCTCTGCCCTGGAGCCAAGAAGTGACACTCAAGGTCAAGAGCGGAGCACCCCCAACGAGAACTGCAGCCTCCTCAGTGACAGCAAGGACCTGAGTTCCTCCACTGATAACAGCTGAATTTATATCAAGAAAACCAGCGTGACAAGCTTTTCTAGGAGACTCAGCAGCACATACCTCTTCCCCTCCAAATGCAGACACACTTTCTGCCCAGTTGTAACATGTGATTTTGCAAATAATGTAAAATTCCACACGCTGGGTAAACACTCATGTTGATGTTCTGTTCTCCGTTCTGTACTTATGGTTTTGCATTCTCTTCCCAATGAAGCCTCCTGAGATTGTGCAATCTTCCGATCCCCTGCGCCCCCACCTCCCACAGCTCCCCACCCCAGCACAGCTGGCACCGTAGCAAGCTTCACCTCAGCCTTCCCCCACGGTTCACAGCCTCTTGTTTCCATCTCAGCCTCCCCAGCTGAGCTCCCCAGGGTAGGGCAGGGCCTCCCCTCTGGCCCCCACCAGACCATGCTAGCACCAGGCACTGGTGAAGAAACCCACAATGAATTCACAGGGATGCTGCTGCCTGCTCTCTGGGAGGCAGCAGCTGGGTCCTGAGCTTTCCCAGGGTTCGTGGGTGGGGTTGGCCCTCTGCTAACCTCCCTGGGCTGATTCAGAAGGTGGGCAGGAGACAGCCCAGCCTCGGGCTGACCAGGCCAGCACGTTCTACCCCCAGCACCAAACCACAGAAGCACCTCTCAGAGACAGTTTTGGGAAGGGCAACCCCATCCTGATCACTTGCTATTGCTAGGCCCTCTGCCCCTGACCTTAACTGGACCCCTACTCTGGGAGTGCAGCTGTGTAGAAGACAGCAAACCACTCCGGCAATGGAAATGGAAGTGGCTCAGATGACTTAGGTGCTTTGAGCAACAGGTTCCAGGCAATGGGTGCTGTGCGGCAGGCATGATGGATCACCGTTCTGAACCTCACCGTGCACATCTGTTAAATGGGCCAATATCAGTTTCCACTTCACAAGGTAGTGATGAGGAGGAAGTGGACCAGGGCTGTGAAGCGTTAGCGGGGTGTAATAAGTGCTCTGTAAGGGTCGTGTGTCATTGTCCCTTCCTCCTGCTATTCCCAGATACCAGTCTGCGGAGACGTTCCATTAGATTCAGGGCTAGATGAGACATTTTTAAGTGTTAGGAAAAGGTCAATGTATTAATATCTTCATTTTCTTCTATTTGTTTATCTTTTGCTGAATTGCTTCCAATGTGCTGCTTTCAAACCAAGAAAAAGGAGCAAAGATCATATAGTCAGAAACGCAGGTATAAATATGTAGAATAAATACCGTAAAGAAATAGCTGAAGTGTCAATAGTAATTAATGACCTCTGGGTAGTGAGGATAGGGGTAGGCAGTTTGTTCTATTCGTTTTTCTTTATTTTTATTAGTATATATCTGCAATCGTAACGATTACATTCATCAAGGGAAGTTGGTCCATGTACATAAAACACTTTAATTCTTTTTATTTAGTCAGTTCTTATCAACTGCTTTGTAATACACGTGTGTGTTTTTTTTTACAAAATAAATTATTCAAAGATACAAATAACAGTTTAGAAGCCAAGCACAGTGCAGTACCAGCTACTAGGAAAGGTGAGGCAGGAGGATCTCTTAAGTCCAGGAGTTCGGGGCTGGGGATTTAGCTCAGCGGCATAAGCACCTGCCTTGCAAGCAGGCAGTCGTGAGTTCGATCCCTGGTACCGATAAAAAGGAAAAAGACAAAAAAAAAAAGTCCAGGAGTTCAAGGCCAGCATGGGCAACACAGGGAGACCCCGTCTCAAAAAAAGAAGGAAACGGGTATGGTGGCACACACCTGGAACCCCAGATCTCAGGAGGCTGAGCAGGAGGAACACCTCAAGTTTTAGGTCAGCCTGGGTTACA